TGTCGTTGAATTTACGAGAAAAATGACGAAGCGAGTGTCTCCTTGCGTTCCCCCGATGCAAGGATATCGTTCTCTGAAAGTTCCCTCTCTCTGAATTAAATCCTTCATTCTTGAAAGAATGAAAGACGTTAATGTTATTTCATGATTTTTATTCGGAAAGAATAAAAGCGGTAATTTAAATTTAATATATTAAAAACGATATTTCTTTCGAAAGTTCCCTTTCTCTTCCCTTATTTATGAAGGTCGACTTTTGTCAAGAATTACATTCGCTCTTTCTCTTAACATTCGTCCTTTTTTTCTAGAACAAATGCAGTATCTGTACAGTACCTCGCTATTCTGTATTCCATATATCACAGCTCAATTGATCGCACAATCGTCACGTAGCCGTGGTTTACGCAGTCCGGGATAATCCAGATCCGAGTATTTCTGGTGGGAAAGTGAGCCTGCGAATCGATTGGCCACTTTCAGCGACTCGGTATTATAAATTAAATTTGAATGTTGGACACGATTTTTCTTCATTCTTGCCTTTCCCTTACCTTTATATCGATTCTCACGGCTTTCGCGATTCTGACTGTAACGCTATTTTAATTTAACGTTATTTTGATTCAGCTGTTTCTGAGGATAAATATTGCTGACTCGACCCATCGCGTCCCATCGTGATCCTTTCATTTTTCACACCGGATCTCCCCGCGATATAATACGATAAAATACGGACGAGGAAAAGAGCGGGATCGCGTTCTTTCTCTGTCGGCATAAAAATCATAAAGTACAAGCAATGTTATTGATAAAGTAGTATTATCATTTTTATATTTATGATGCTCCGAGATATTAAATCCTAGTCTTCCTTGGTGTTTCCTTCCTTTGAAATCAATTAACTTCGCTTTTTTGTAATATTCCATACAAGCTTAATTTATCTTACATGTTATTAATTTATGTGGAAAAAAAATATTACAGTTAATTTTCAATCCAAATTATTTTAATGTTAAGCTAATTTAATTAATTAACTTTATTTTATTTATTGATTGTGAAAAGGAAATATTGCCGAGATGATTTTCGATTCTCAAAAACAAAATTCATCGCATTTTGCATAATGATTTTTGCATGCAACGATACACATTGCATTGCTTCGCTTACGGCGACACCCAATGTCGATGAGGGTTGGAAAATGGGATGGTAGAAGGGAGAGAGAGAGTAAGGGAAAGAGAAAGAGAGCGGGGGTGGGAGGGAGGGAGAGAGGGAGGGAGGAATATTCTCCGGAACGGATACGATTGGGAAAACTGTCGATAGCGGACGGCAGGCAGCCTCGGTTTGCTCGCTCGCGGGATGATCCGTGGACCAAATTCGAGCCGGGCCGGAGACGACGACGACGATGATTCCCGCGCCCGCCTTTGTTCCCCTCCCCCTCTACCGCGCCCCTTGCGACATCGCCCATCATCGTCTCCCTCGTCGCAATAAGTGGCCTCGCGGTCGGCTTTAACATGCAAAACGAGCCGCGTACCAAAATGCAATTAAAATGCAAAGCACTAGAGAGAAGGGGAAAGAGAACGAGAGAGAGAGAGGGAGAGAGAAAGAGAAAGAGCAGGGAAAAAGAGAGACTGCAATACGCGAGCAAAAGAGAAATCCAAATTTTATTTATTTGTTTCTTTCTCTCTCTTTTTTTATTTCCCTCTCTTTTTAAATAAAAGCCGCGACAGTCGAATTAAAATTAATTGCGTTCTAGATCTTTTAGCGAGAATATCCCGAAGACTTGTGTTAATCGAAGCGTTGAATTAATTATTTAACGTATTTCTTCTCTCTTTCTCTCCCTTTCGATAAACGGCTATTTATCGGGAGTTAATTTTGACTAGGGTTGAGACTGCGATGAGGTTCACAAGTTCAAAATCACAAGTTTAAAATCACAAGTAGGTATTCTATTAAAAATCTTACAAATATAATCTTACATAACGCTATCAATAATTAATTATTCATACCATGTGAGTGAAAAGATGCTAGATAGTAATCAAGTATTCATTGCTATGTAAATAAAGAAACAGAGACAAGTAACAAATATTTCGGCATTTGTCTCCTGATCTCTTATGTACTTGTACATTTTTTAGATGCAATATATATTTCACATATATGGTATTACATTTTTATATAGATATAGATGTAATTCAAGTTATGATTCTTATCATAATATCAAGTTGTTAAATTTGGAAGATTAAGTATGGCTTTGCAAATCAAAGTTCTCGTTGCAAATCAAAGTTACAAGTGGAAATAAATATTATATAACGAGGCATTTCATAAATAAACAAAATGAGAAGCACCTTAGATACAACACTACAATACAGAATGAGATTTTCAAGACAAATTCATCGGAAAAGACAGGAAAGAGCGGAGGAGTAAAGCAGAGAGCAGAATGAAGAGAGACATCCGAAGATAAACGGGAGTGAGGGGAGGCGCGAGATGACGGAAGGCGAGGAAGAAAGAGGGATGGAGAAGGAACGCGAGAGGGTTGGTTTGTGATGGTCGACGGTAATGCGCACATGGAGAGGCACGTAAGGAGAAGAAGGAGCGGAGAAAGGTTCCGTGAGAAGCGCGGAGGGATGATGCGGCGGGACGGGCGGGCGAGCGAGGGAGGGGGTGCGTTTGGTCCGGGAGCTCGCCGGGGGATGCTGTATTGATCGTGAGAGCGGGCTAAAGTAAGCCGAGGCTGGTTGGCACGGAGGGTTGCCTTGGCAACCCTCGTCGTCCCTCATCCCTCAGGACTCCGGACCGTTCGTCGGTCCGAAAACCACCCCCGAACGCCGACCACCACCCTCTCTCTCTCTCTCTCTCTCTCTCTCTCCCTTGCTCTCTCTTTCTCTCGCTCTCCTTCTCTGTCGGATTCGCGATCTATACGTGCCAAACGGTACGCTCGGCAGATACGGCGTATGCGTAAGCGTATGCGAGAGAGATCCTTTTTCCCTCCTGGTTTTCCTTCAGCTTTCCTTCCGACCGCTCCTCGACACGCGTTCTTCCGCTCGGAAATAATCGGGACAGAACCTGTTTCCTGATAACGTTATCAAATACGATAACGGTTGTGTTTAATTCTCCCTAAATCTTTCTTTCCTTCTACTTGAAATTTATGTCGCAAATATATAAAATATTAAAAAACAATGTAGAAGAAAAAAATTACACGATGGATTTCGGAGAGAGAGAGAGAGAAACGCTAATATGATCGTTTAACTCTTCTAAAACAATTTCTCCGAGTTGCTCAAAGTTTTTTTATGAAGTAGAATATTTAAAATTTTAAGAAATATTAATCATTTTAATCAATAATAATCAATTGTGAAAATACTTCTATTTCATAATAAGTGGTCATAGATGATCAATAAGTATTTTATCTTTAAAATATCTTCAATATACCTTTGAAAACTGTTTAAAATTAATAAACAACATATTGTTATAAGAAAAAGGTTCAAACATAGATATAATTATTTTTTAAACGGCCATTAAATAAGATTATGAAATTATAAATATTTTTAAGGCGAGAAGCTATATAAAATAGACATAATCCTCCGTGATCAATAAATCAATTGTAGTATTATTCTTTCCTAATTAATGGATTCGGATGCTGGAGTGATCCATTTTGCGATGTATTTCAAAGCAAGTGCACTTGCAATTATTTTCGAGCAATCTCGGGATATATTTCTCGGCGCAAAGGAAGCGATAAATCTTGTACTATGGATGCTGTTCGACCCAGAAAGATCTCGCACGTATCTCGCGAGCGAACAAAGCACATTGACGCGTAATAATTTAACCCTTTCGCTCTCCATCGTATTACATGGGAATGAAAATCTAAACATTATTCGATGTACATGAATACATTTGTGTTAAGTTATTTTTATTTTTACGTCCGGAGAGAAAAAAATAAATATAAGTATTTTTCATCTAATACTTATTAAATTAAATTAAATGTTGTTAGTATTAATCGTTTGTTTGTGTTTGTGCCAGACGAAACGCAAGAGAGAAGGAAGGTTTAATTCATACGCGAAAAAGATAGAAAAGAATGATTGTCGCCGAATTGTCTCGGGATTCCCGCGATGTTCGTAGTATTTTTCCACGCGCTAATGCATGCCCGTTAATCATAATCAACGACAATGTATGTATGGATTGTAAACACAGCATAAATCGAACGAAACAACGATTGCTGTGAAAAAAGAGAAATTTATTAAAATTGCCACATCGAGAGATTGATATTAATTTCTTTAGAAGAATAAAAAATTGAGAAACTCTTGCTAAACATAATAATAATAATATGTAATTTGAAAATGAAATAGAGACAAAATAAAGGGATGAAAGTATAATATATATAATGCATAAAGTAAAATGAATATTTTAATACTGATATAATAAGCATTGTTGCGATACCCCATTACATTAATAAATACAACTCACATTAATCGATTTATATTTTTTAATTATGTTATTTACAATATTAACTGGAAGTACGATAAATAATTTAATTATTAATAATTATTATTCTCTTTCTATAAACACAATACATATTTTCTTAAAAAATGTTTGGCAATTTTGGAGCAAAATTCTTCTCCAATAAAAAAATTTAAATTAGTTCATTTTGTCTTGTTCATCTTACTAATTTTTAATTTATTGGTTATTAACTTTTTAATCACGTTTCTTTTTCAACAATTTTTTAAATTCTCGTCTTTCAAATTATTACCTCTACTAAAGAATTTTTATATGAGAATAATTTTTATTATAAATTAGAACTAAATGCGCAGCATCTCTTTGCATGCAATATATATCCGGCAACTAGCGACTTCTCTTGCTTATCTTAGATACGAATTTCCTTTCCCGATGGTAACAACATGGTTCAAAGAGGATTTTTAGTCTGACCCACCAGGGTACGCCAGCCGATGGGTCCAGCGCAGCATCCCTCGGTTGTAACGGGCGCACCCTCGTATACGACGACCAAACTAATTTAGGGGTTGCGCTCTCTCCTGCGCAAGATCTGCCAAACAACGAAGGAGACGCGTGTGTGCCCCTGATGTGCTTCGTTCGGACGTGATAATTTTATCAGAGACAAAATTATCGATCATTATTAAAAGACAAGAGATCTTTAAAACGGTCAAAACTCCCGTGGAATAAAGGCTTTGCGAATGGAAAAAAATCTCCAAACTGTTTGCGAGATTTTTCTCCTCGGTCATCGAGCCTCGATTCCTGCTGAATTAAAATGGCTGTGATTGGCTCTGAGTGATTTTGGGGAAACAAGATAATAAAAGGCTCTGGCAACTCCTTACAATCAGGATTCCTCAAAATCCCGATTGCCCGTATTCCCGAAAAAGTGCGAAGAAAAACGGACAGAGGGATGATTTGACGCTGCGCACTGATGCGCGAAAAGCGTTGCTGATCGTCGTGCATCGTATTCTGCACCCCGCGAAACGCGCGGGGGCTGGGGAAAAAAATCGTCGTCGGTAAGTGTTCCACTTGCTATTGATTGCGTTAGACTGTCCGATGACGCCCCGCGAATGGCGGTGGTGCTCGCTAATAAATGCGAAAATGAGAAGATAGAAATTTATTCGGAAATCAAGAACGTAAATATGAAATTTTTAAAAATCAACTTTGTCGGGCAAAATATAAGGATTTACCTTGTGAAACGTACAAAAATTTCAGAAAAAAATTTGTACATTCATGAAATAGATTCATGAGAGAAATTATTCGCGGAAATTAAAATATGTGAGAAGTTTGAGAAAAACTGCAATAATAAAATAAATTCCAGCGAGAAATGTGAAAATAAATAACTGTATTAAATAAAACAAGTGTGATACAATCGATATTTAAAATTTATTTATAGAAAAAGCGAAAGGTTTCAAAATAAATAAATATGAATATAAATTCGAAGTCAAGGACCATTTTATTTTTGAAAAATGTAAAACTGGAATTTGCAAATATAGGAATTGAATAGAAAAAAGAGGGAGAATTCGTCGATTAAATCGAGAAAGTGAAAGATGAGATCCTACGACGGCGAAAGCAGCTCAACAGAAGACGACGATCGCAGAGAAGGTCTGCCGGAGGCGCATCTGCAACAAGGATCCTGGCAACGCACAGCGTCCCATCCTACCTGGGCCTGGGAGCATCGCAACGTCGTAAGTAACGATTGTAGATATAAAAAAGAAAATATAAAATATATATTTAACTAATAAAAGTACTAATATATTCCTAACGAAAAACCCTTTTTCAGCATCCACTGCCTCCACAATCGGCAGCGGCTCTCGAATCCGTATATTCGACACCAGGGGCCTCACATCCAGGTGTCTCGGGTCCACCAACAGCATACTCATCGGAACACACTCAGAGCGCACCAGGACGAAGGACTCCGCTGGGTGCCGTGGGCCTCGGTGGCTTTTACTTTCAACAACAACCTCAACCGCATGCTTCGTCGAGCGCGTTGTCCGATGAGAATCGACCGGATGAGAGGTTTGCTTTCAATTTAATTTAACTTTAAAATTTTAAGATAAATGAAAAAAATAAAAGAATAAAGTCACCTGACAATTTGTAAGAATAAAATAATTGAAAAATGAAAATTCAACTGGAAATTGCACGTATAAGATTATAAAAGAGGACATAAATATATAATAAAATAATTGGACGAAATGTATTTTTGTAAGGAACGTCCGATGAAATGTATGTAATTAATAATTCTGGCGTGTGTGATTTCTTTTTCAGACCAACAGGTTCGCGATTGAACTGTCCACCGAAATCGAAGACGACTCGTCAAGGAAAAAGCGTAAGGTTGAATATTAATGCCCGAGAACGTAGAAGGATGCATGATTTGAACGACGCCTTAGACGAACTTCGTTCTGTCATCCCTTACGCACATAGTCCTTCGGTGAGGAAGCTGTCGAAAATAGCCACTCTTCTCCTGGCGAAAAATTATATTCTCATGCAAGGTAATAAAGTGTTTAAACGCGAGAAAGCAATTTAAGTTTTAATAAAGTTTTTAAAACAATTTCTCACAAGAAAATTAAATTGTATGTTTCAAATGTAGCCAAGCCAAAACTAAACTGTCATCATTTCAACGCTTATCATATTGATTAATTAATGACAAATTAATCGCCGTCGCAGGGAACGCGCTGGAGGAGCTCCGGAGAGTGATAGCCGTTTTGCAATCACCGCATGCACACACCACCGCTTTACCGCCCACCCCGGTCTCCTACGACCTTCTGCAGGGATTCCCCGGCAAGTTATTCCAGGGGGTGCCGGAGATGCAAGGGCTTCCTACGAACGATCCTCAAATCGTGACTGGTCCCCCGACTGACGGTACAGTCGCCAGCGGAGAGTCGAATTAAAGAATCAATTATTTCTTCCTACTTTCTTCGCGATAGATCTAAGAATTTCTCTCGTGAACAACGTAAATCGACCGTACGAATTCGAGCCAACAGAATTAAATTGATAAAATGCGATACAATAGCGAGAGAAGAGGATTCAAAGTATTTGCAAATCTTTCAGGCCTAAGTCTAAGATTGATAGTGTAAGATGCGTCCAAGAGTCTCCTAAGCTGAAGGAGTACTTTTTAAAATGGAAATGCCTTCGGCTACATGAAAGTATTAATTATTAGAGTATTATTGGAACTTAATTAATTCTTCTAGAGAGAAAAAAGAGTGGAGTAATCTTTTTTAAATATTAATACATAAATAATTTATATTTGCTTAAAAAACAAGACGCGAAAGAACGAATTACATCATTTTATTTCTTCCGTAAAAATAACAAGATGCATAAGATCAAGTAAAGCAAAAACAGAAGAGATAAATTCAAAATAATCAAAAGTTAATTATATATATAAAGAGACATTGATAGGAGATAAGAATTAATGAATTAAAATTAGAGAAAAACTTCTCTTTTTACGGAAAGAAATAAAATATACCATAATTTCGAGTGACACTTCAATTAAAAAAATTAATTCAGGATTACTTTGAAGTCCTAATGAAGGGCGAAATTACTGCGAAAGTATTGCGAAAGTATTAGCAATTAATAAGCAATTGACACTGTCACGATCCTAAAGTCAATGATGCAGCAATAAGACGACGGCGCGTTTTTCGTCTCTCCGACTCTCGCCGAGATAGCACTTCGAAGACCGATTACATAATCGCTTCAGCATTGAAAGATTAAACAAAGAATAAGCACAAAGTCCGTTTTCAGACTTGCGAATAAAAATATATGTAGGCTCGAGGAAAAAATTCATGATGATTTTATTCATGATGATTCGCTCAGAATGCTCGATTTTCGTGATAGAGGATCGGAAGGACGAAAACGTCGCCAGGACTTGGAACGCGAAGAGTTTCCGAGTCTCGTCCAGAAACACGATAGTCAATATTAGTATGTGATATGTGTCGAGGAGTTCTAGTCTATATACAACATAAAGATATATTGAATATTCATATACACATATACAGTATATATACATATATATATATATATATTTAATAATCTAAACGAAGCATCGACTTACGACTTATTTATATACATAATTAAGAATCTATTATACAATGTGCCACAGTAAGAATTTACCTACTTTCGAAAAAAGCGAACGAGCAAGCGAGATGGAAGGAGAAAAAGAGAAAGAACATGTGAGAAAAAGAGAAAGAACATGTGAGAAAAAGAGAAAGAACATGTGAGAGAAGGGATTGGAAGAAGGAAAGAAAATTATTTACTGTGCTATTTGTGAGAAATATCGTGCGATCCTTTTTTTCGCAATACAGTTATTTCTCGGAGCAAAAGTAAGGATGAGCGTCTCAACGAAGGCAGAAGGATTTACTTGTTGTAGAGTGTAGATAATAATTGTTTAGTGCTCTCAAATAAAATCTATTTAAGAGAATCTCAATATCCGATGGGCGTCAAATTATCAAGATTTTCATGTTTATAGTGTTTGCTTTATTTTATTTTAATTAGTTGTTTCTTTTTTTATTCTATTTCTAATTTTATTTTATATCAGATCCTTACTTTTTATTTTATTTTCAATTAGATGAACTACTTTTCATTACGACAAGATATTATATCTTTCAATTATCGCCATCATTCTTTATTTTAAGAATGTTACTTTAATTATATTTAAATTTCTTTTTTTCGAACTAAATTGATGCAAAATTTGCGGAATTAAGGACAGCACTATCTCGTCATGTTCTGTAATAGATCCTTTCTGTAGATCCTTTTATCTTTGTGGCTTGAATGAAAGATAAAAATTTTTTAATCGACTTATTTCCAAATAAAATAGCAGCTTATCTCCGACTTTAAAAGTTGCCGCCTTTGAAGTGGCGCTACTTTCCGCCAGTAGGCACAAGCCGCTCTTCAAGGTCACATCCGACTGTCCATCTGCGTCATAATTCAAAATTACCACTCGAAACCCTTTAAATGGACTTGGTCCATGTCGGTGTCAAGGTGTTTCAGAAAAAGAGTACGCGAAAAGTTTATCAGACTCTTTTTGCAAGTAATAATCGTAGGAAGCAAGGTGGGGATGGGAACGACCAGCAGTCGTCTTGTGGCGCCATCAAGCTATGCTGGTATACCGTCATGCTGGGCTCCCATTCGGTCGCCTCCAGTGCTGACAAGAGGATCTGATCGTCACGATCAGAGATAGATCGTGCCTCTTGTGCGTGCGTGCCCCAATCAAGATGGCTTTGTCCATTGCGACGCCGTTGTGATATCACTCCAGACGACGAGGGGAATCTGATTAGTCAGATTACTCCAAAGTGTCGAGGAGAATTATCAGCACGACGACGACGAAAAGAAGAAAGGTGGCAACCAACAACGTCCTCAGCGACGCGGAGATGTGACGCTCGTCGGCGAACCGGTGAGTGCAAGTGAGTCCCTTAACTTTTCTGGCCAGAGTGACCTGGTCGACCTTTTTCGAGAAGTAAAATAGGTGAGCACCTTCAAAACCGGAATCTCACGATGGCGTAGCTGTTGATGACGAGAGGATAAGAGAGAGAAAGAGACGGAGAGTGTAAAAGAGACAGAGAGAAGCAATTCTTTAAAGAGGTGGGAGAGAAAGAGAGAGAAAGAGAGAGAGAGAGAAAGAGAGAGAGAGAGAGAGAGAAAGGTGTTGTTGAAGATATAATATTAATCGTCTAGATGCTGTTACTTGCGAAACAAAGTGGCTAAAGAGGTTTCTCATGGTTGTGCCACTTTGTCATGATCAGGACTCTGCAGGTGCAGATGTAGAACTGCGTGGATAGAGACACTCAGTTGGTAACCATCTTTCGATTCTTTCATAAGATAGCAAGTTTGTAGGAAAAAATATTATATTATATATATCGTCGAAGAATTGGAGTATTTGTGATAATAACTGTTGTCAAAATTATCTTGTTTCCTCATGATTGCACATGAAAAATTCTTTCATTAGTAATTTTGGAATAAGAAAGGCTTTTTCAATAATAAGTTTGGATTAGGAAAAATATTTTGAAGCAGAAGGAGATATTTCTCTTTATTAACAACTAAAATAGCAGAGCATTTAAAATAGAGGACAGAGTTTCGATATCAGTAATTTTGGAGCACAAAAGTTTAGAGCAAAGAAAAGAAAGTTTTCCTTATTAGTAATATTGAAGCAGGAAAGTAGTTTTAAGAGATTTTATATCTTGTTTAAGAAAAAAACATATGTTTAATAATTTTGGAACAAAAGTATTATCTAGCATCAGTTTCGTTTGCTTTGAATTTATTATAAGATATTAATAAATTTGGAGCACAAAAGTATATTTAAGCAGAGGAAAGAAAGTTTCCTTATTAGTAATATTGAAGCAGGAAAGTAGTTTTAAGAGATTTCATATCTTGTTTAAGAAAAAAACATATGTTTAATAATTTTGGAACAAAAGTATTATCTAGCATCAGTTTCGCTTTGAATTTATTATAAGATATTAATAAATTTGGAGCACAAAAGTATATTTAAGCAGAGGAAAGAAAGTTTCCTTATTAGTAATATTGAAGTAGGAAAGTATTTTAAGAGATTTCATATCTTGTTTAAGAAAAAAAATATGTTTAATAATTTTGGACCAGAAGTATTATCTAGCACTATCTTTGCTTGCTTTAAATTTATTATAAGTCTCATTTTAAGTTTATGATGTTGAACTTAGCTCAATGTATGAAGTAAAATGCAGATATTCCCTTGTGAAAGTCTTATATGTACGTAGCAATCGAGAGATAAACCGACATACAGTGAAGTTTGTATCTGGGTAAGTACGTCAATGAAATTCCCGATAGTACTTGTGCGTCTGTTTTTGCAATATTTTAAGCGTTGCATAAGACTTATATTATATTTAAAGATTATCTGCTTGAGAATTTGCAAGAATTGATCGCGAAAATGTCTGCCTTTCAAGTGAAAAAATTCCGATTAATTTAAATAATGATCAGAAAAAACTCGCGAAAGTACAGAAAGCCATAAAAAATTTCTATTTCTTATTTTAAATCTTAATCAAAATTTCGGGAAGATTTATTTTGATTATCTATCACGTAATTGTGCGAATAAAACGAAAAGATATGATTTAGATTTGTATTTACTCAACAATGTCGAACACAAACTTCTTGCTGAGTAATTCAATTGGAATACGAAGGAAAACACAAACCATACTATTATACGCAATTAGAAAGTAAACTATAAGGCTGTCAGGAAAAATGGGAAGACGGGAAGAGAATAATAATAGGCGTGATATTACGGTGTTTTCCTTTTTTTATTAATATTATAACGCATTACAATATAATTAAATAATTATTAGTTTTTTTATCTCTCTCTGCATTAGAATTTTAATTACGAGCCGATTAAATTATTTATATCAATATTACTGTTGCAAATAATAACTTTAAAAGTGATATTTTTTGTAAATGAGTAAGTTAGTCTTATCTCATCAATTAGATGAAAAACATGATTGTTATTGATAGTTTCCCATCTCTATTTGGACCCTACTGATAAACTCAAATTAAATTTCCCTCGCCCTTTGGAACTGTATAGTATATTATATATACTATTTCGCGTTTTAATAAAATAATAAAGGCGTTCAACAATGCAAAATTTATGAAATAATTTTCGACTAATATATTAAAATATATATGTCAATGATTTTTAAAATTTTAATTAGATAAAAAAATTGCGATAATTTTATGAAATTTACAAGTAAAACAATATTAACTATAATTTTCTTATAAAAGAAATCCAATATTTTAAGAAAGTAATTTTCTGAAAGAAATGGGATTACTACAAATAATATTAGAATGTTTTGAATTGTATTAGAATTACTATTGATAAATTTAATAGTTTTAAGTATCATCTTTTACTTCTGTATGTACGCTTATCGCGCCTATTTTTTAATTTTCAGAATAAATCATAAGAGATATATAAGAATAAGTAAAAATAATAATAATGAGTATAAAAAATATTCTAAAATTAATATGGATTGTAATTTATCGAAGCGATAGCATCATTTCACTTTATTGCACTCGTCATTGCATCCATCTCGTTGAAATACACGTGAATATTTGTCGCATATGAGGTAAACACGTGATCCGTGGGAAAACCAGGCACATAGTAACGCATGTGTATGCATCGTAATCGTAAATAATGAATGTAATTGTACAAGGGTCGCGGATTAACTGAACGCTTTGATGCATAAAATTGTTGCACTGGTATCAGAAAAGTCGATATTGGCCAGTTGCCGTCTTTAGAAATTAATTTTTGTCTTGCTTCTTCGCCGCACATTAAAAATCTGTCGTTGTAATATGAAAATATGCAAATATAAAAAATATGAAAATATATAAATAATAAAAT